TGGTGGTGCAGTCACACCAACTTTTACAACTGTAGTAAGGCATCTTTACCACTATACTCAAATGCTTGCATCATGAAAGCCAACAAACCATTTGCCTTCCTAATTGTTTGTTGCAACTGCATGTTGGAAACAAGGATGTCAAGTCCCTTTGAAAATTCTTAAATCCCACTTAAGAAGCACTGTACATTTCTGCTTTTCCTGCTAAAGTAGGTAACTTCACATCTTTCCATATTATATTCTATGTGTCATGTTCCTGCCACTCACTTAGCATGACTGCATCTTTGCTTCTTGCTGTTTCTTACTTCCAAACTAACTGACTTGTACCTTTATTGTTCCATGTAAGACCTTCTCTCACTAATGCACTGTTCTTATCTTTAATTAACACCACAACCCCACCTCATTTGCCCTTTTGCATATCCTTCTAAATGCTGCATGCTCTGGACTATTCAGATCCCTGCTTTACTCACCCTTTAGCTACATCTCTGCAAAGACAATTAGATCATACCTGTTTACTTCTATTTGTTCAGTAAAGTTTTTTTTGGTTTATTCCTGGCTTGTGGGTATCAGTGGCTAGGTCAGGATTTGTTGATCATCCCCTAATTGCTTAAGAAATGAGAAGCTTGCTTGGCCATTTCAGAGGTGAGATAAGATTCAATCACATTGGTATGGGTCTGGAATCATGTGTAGGCCAGATTGGGTAAGATTTTCTTTTCTAAAGGGTATTAGTTCAAAAGATGGATTTTTACAACAATTATCAATAGTCATATATTGAACATCAGGCGAACTTTTTACTCCAGATTTCTACTGAATTCAAATTTCACTATCTGGCATGCGGGCACTCGAATCACTGCCTCCCCTCGTCATTCCTCTACCTTGTTGTGAATGCTGCAGGCATTCAGATAAAGTGCCTTTAATTTGGTATTTTTAATATTTTTCTGTATTTTGACCTTACTTGATGCTGGTCCTTGTTTTTGCTGCCTTCCTTTTATTTCAATCCTTTCCATCCTACCATTCCAAATTCTGTTTCTCTTCTATATGAATTTATCACCAGGTTCCCATGCCTCTGCCAATCTAGTTTAAATCCTCCTTAACAGCTCTAGCAAATATCCTTGCAAGGATATTGGTGCCAGTCCCTCAAGTCTAACCCATCCTCTTGTACAGGCCCCACCTGTCACTGAGTCAGTGCCAAAACCTCAGATATCTAACACCTTCCCTCCTGCACCATCTCTCCAGCTACACTTTCTTTTGCCCTATTCTCCTACGCCTGTCCTCATTGAAAGAAAGGACCAAAAACATCTTGAAAACTCACACTTGCTCTCATTATCTAAACTAAATTATGAGTCTTTGAATGTGCTGTTGCAATCAGCTAGTTTTTTTTTATTGCAAAGGAAACCATAACTTTCCTAAAAGGAAAGCTAAACATATGCTTGAATAAAGCATTAAGTTATTGTGCTGGTAATTTTACTACTGACTTCTGAATGTGAATTATGTCCAATAGAAAATTAGAACAGACAACTTGTGCGCTCTGGCGAATGGTGAATAGTCCAGCATCTGTCTCACTGACAGACCCAAATTAGACTGGTATGTCAGAGATAGTAAGAACTACAGGTGCTGGAGTCAGAGATAGCAGTGTGGAGCTGGAGGAACACAGCAGGGGGACAGCATCAGAGGAGCAGGAAAGTTGACGCTTTGGGTCAGCACCCTTCTACAGAAATGGGGAGGGGGAAGGGAGCTCAGAAATAAATAGAAAGAGGAGGGGTGGGGCTGGGGAAGGTAGGTGGGATGGTGATAGATGAGTGCAGGTAGGCAGTGGTGAGGATTGGTCAGTGAGGTGGGAAGGGCGGATAGGTGGGAGAGAAGATGGACAGGTTGTATCAGGTCAAGGAGGCAGGGATGAGAGGGAGGGTTAGTCATGGGATGAGGCTGGGGTGGGGAGATTTTGAAACTGGTAAAATCCATGTTTAGGCCATCGGGCTGGTATACTGAATCTGCTATGCGTGCTTGTTCTCCCTTGTTTCTCCCTATCGAAGTGCACAATGCATCTCTGTTCAAGACAATTATTGCATAATGTTATGATTTAGTTCGACCTTCTGCAGGATGTACTGTAATGTTGAATCTATCATGTGTTTCCATGGTTCCTCTAACATTGATGTTTGTGGATACATGTCCTGAATTACATGTGGAATTAGGTGTCATTTGTTCTTTTGTGCCTCTTTGCGTCTCAAATCTTTACTCAATTATTATCTACTAGAATATGAGAGTTGGTGTGGTATTGAGGTTTAATCAATAATGGTAGATCTTCATAGTCACCCTATATTCTGTTTTCCGTCATTTTGATGACATTGCAATGAAAATATCATTCTTACTCACTGGAAATTGTCCAACTGATGGACATAACTTTCTACCAATATTAATATAATGAGACAAGCTCCATCCTGTACCATATCCTAAAGTTTTTAGCATGTACTTTTAGTTAAATCTTGTTTAACTCAATGTTAACTCAACTCAACCTCAAGTTGTCTTTTAATTTCCAACCAGACTAAGATTTGTGAATAGGAGTTTTATTTCAGTCTGCAGTATTCTGTAAGAAATTTTTGTCTGTGTGTGTAGAGCAGAGAGACAAATATACAAACTCCATCTGGAGACCAGTTGCAAGTTTCAGGAGAAGATAACCTATTTTTCTAGTCATTGTCAGACAAACATGATTGATTATCTGAATACTACAAATCTGTAAAATGATAGCAGATACAAGTTTACCATTGTCAGGGGAAAAATGATTATATAGCCCCAAACTATTTGATATGCCAGCGGTGCATTCGAAGGTTCAAAACTCATCCGAATGTTTTCACTAGGGATATTCTTCAGATAGGTGGCATACACTTCAAGATATATCTGAGAAAAAGAATGATTGTGCAGTTCACTCAGTTGAAAGGTATATCTATGCAACCAGTACAATCAGAGGCCATTAGCTTGTAATGCCTACGCTGGCCCTTTGAAAGAAAAATTCAAGGGGATTGCCAGGTGTCCAGCAGCATTGATGTCATCAAACAGGGTAATCAGTCAATCACATTGTTAAATGAGATATAACTGTTTCTTTAACAAGGTACTAAGTTCATCATTACTGCTGCTTTCAAACGTTTGTTTATGATAATTTAGCTTCTAAATCAATCCCATGTAAATATTCCAATCGCCTATTTTGCTAGCAATGACATGTAATATTAAAAGTGAGGAAATTCAGAAGCTTTTACTTCTGGGTTTCAGTCTGGCAGCATCTACAGGGTGAGGGGAAGCGTTTGCATCAGTCCCTGGTCATACGAATACCCAGAGACAGTTGTGAAATTAAAGCAGCAAATTCTCATGCATAGCTCAATTGTCTAATTGGTACCACAATGCAAATTAACTGTGCATTGCTTGAAAGAGTGGATTCCCAGAACTGCCAAGAAAAATAAAAAAAAAAATAACGTCATGCATTAATTCAGAAAATGCATCATTATTTACACCAACACAAATTTCTTCAATTTTATTGCCCCAATTGTGGCATCTGGTTGGAGGCATGTTGAGAACAAAGGAAGGTTACAATTGTTGGAGGTCAGTCGTCTCAGCTCCAGGATACCACTGCAAGAGTTCCTCAGGGTAATGTCCTAGGCCCAACCAGCTTAACTGCTTCCTCAAAGACCTTCCCTCCATCAAGGGGTGAGAAGTGAGGATGTTTACTGGTGATTACACAGTGTTCATCTCCATTCACAATTCCTCAGGCACTGGAGAAATACAAGCCCAAATACAGTAAGATCCAGACAACATTCAGGCTTGGGTTGATAGTTGGCAAATAACACTTGAGTTACATGATTGGCTCAGTTGGCTGGACAGGCAGTGAAGGTCAGAGTGGTGCCAACAGCACAGGGTTCAAACTTCATTCTGGCTTTGGTGATTGTGGGACCTGCACCCGCTTTCCCTATGGGTAGTGGAGACCATAGCATTATGGTTCGGATCCTCCTTTGAGGAGAGGACTTGAGGACAAGAATAAGATCTAATGCTCATATTTGGAAATTATATTGCATCTATTAAATGTATAAATATATTTATTCTCAGTTATGTTTTCCTGCATTTTACAAATTACAAACATGCAGAATGACTTCTACCGACATCACAGAGGCAGTAACAATATAGAGCCTCGGACTAAAATTTCTGCAAATACGAAAATTAAACAGCTAAACTTTCAAAGAGCTTTGAGAACAAGTGGGTTTGGATCGAAGATTGATTGAAGTCGTTTCTGGATCTTGATGCCTCCCAGATGCTCTCAAATTTTCAAAGTCATTGGGGAAGGAGTCGGAATCCCATTCGTCTCCAATTAACAGCTTCTGAAGCTCCTTGAGGAGCTTGTTCATGGGTTAGGGAGAGGGAGAATGTAATTTTCAACCTGTAAATCACCAGCCTGAATGGTTTGGTGCACAGTTGTCAGGTTCAATGTGGGCAGAAGTTAAGGCCTCTTTTTACATTTGAAGAAAAATTCTGAGGTGGATTTCCAGTGTTGGGAGTTGTGTGTATTACCATTAATTTAACAGTTTTGCTGCTTCTGTGTTGCTGCTGCCCTCTGAGGTTCTACCAGCTCTGCCCTTCATGGCAGTACCACGAGCTCCCCTCTTGGCCAATTAGGCTGTCTTCTTGAACTGCTGCAAGTCAATGTGCAGTGGGTAGACCCACAATGTGGTTATGGAAGGAGTTCCAGGATAAGGAAGGAGTGGGGAAGTATTTCCATATCTGGATGGTGAGTTGCTTGGAGGGGAGCTTGCGGATGGTGGTGTTCCTGTGTATCTGCTGCCTTTGTCCTTCTGATTATTTAGGTGTCAGCAGGTTCCCGACTCTGAAATAAAAATCAAGCTCAGACGTTTCAAGTCCCAAAATGTTAACACTGAATTCACTCCATGGATTCTGCCAGACCTGCTGAGCTTTTCCAGCAATATCTGTTATTGCTTCTGACTAACAGCATCTGCAGTTCTTTTGGTTTTTATATCTGCAGCAAGAGTTCATTGCTTGAGGAATTCTGTCTCAGGGGTGATGAACTGGTGTCTGAGCTTCGAGCACTGTAACACATCAAGAAGGAAGAGTTACCTGGAAGCTGTGTTTCAGGAGATAGTCACACCCTTAGATTAACTGCCTCAAATTTGATCAATGGTCAGGGTTAGGAGGGTGGGAAAGCTGAAAGGTCTGAAGGTGAATAAGTCACCCAGACCTGATGGACTACATGCCAGGGTTCTGAATGAGATTGGTGAAGAGATAGTGGATGCATTAGTGGTGATCTTTCAGGAATCACTGGAGTCAGGGAAAGTCCCAGGTGACTGGTATATGGCTAACATAATATCCTTGTTTAAGAAGGGAGGGAGGCAGGAAACTTGAAACTGTAGGCTGGTTACCTTGACCTCAGTCGTTGGTAAGATTTTAGAGTCCAATATTAAATGTGATTGCAGAGTACCTGGAAGTGCATGGTAAAATAGGTCTGAGTCAGCACAATTTTGTCATGGGGAGACAGTGCCTGACAAATCTGTTAAAATTCTTTGAGGAGGTAACGAGCAAGTTAGACAAAGGTAAGCCAGTGGATATGATCTATTTGAATTCCAAAATGCTTTTGACAAGATGCCACACAGGAGGCTGCTAAATAAGATAAGAGCCCATGGTGTTAGGGGCAAGGCGCTGGCATGGATCGAGGATTAGCTGACTGGCAGAAAGCAGATAGAGGCGATAAAGGGGTCTTTTTCAGGATGACAGATGGTGACTAGTGGAGTTCCTCAGGGTTCAGTGTTAGGACCACAACTATTCACTTTAGAAATTAACGATCTGGACAAAGGAACTGAGGGCATTGTTGTTAAGTTTGCAGATGAGACAAAGATAGCTGGAGGGACAGGTAGTGCTGAGGAAGCAGGGAGGCTGCAGAAGGACTTGGACAGACTGGGAGAGTGGACAAAGAAGTGGCAGATGGAACACAATGTGAGAAAGTGTGAGGTCATGCACGTTGATAGGAAGCATAGATGTGCAGACTTCTTTCTAAATGGGAAAAAGGCTTCAGAAATCTGAAGGACAAAGGGACTTTGGAATCTTAGTTCAGGATTCTTTTAAGCTAACATGCAGAATCAATTGGCAGTTAGAAAAGCAAGTGCAGTGTTAGCATTCATTACAAGAGGACTGGAATACAAGAGCAGAGATCTAATGTTGAGGCTGTATAAGGCTGGAGCAGACCGCATTTGCAATATTGTGAGCAGTTTTGAGCCTCATGTCTAAGGAATGATATGCTGGCATTGAAGGGGGTCCACAGGCTTTTTACAAGAATGATCTCCGGGATGCAGGACTTGTTAAGTGAGGAGCAATTGAGGACTCTTGGTCTGTACTCAATGAAGTTCAGAATGATGAGAGGGGATTTGATTGAAATGTACAGAATCCTGAGTGGCCTGGATACAGCAAATAGGTCTGAGTCAGCACAATTTTGTCATGGGGAGACAGTGCCTGACAAATCTGTTAAAATTCTTTGAGGAGGTAACGAGCAAGTTAGACAAAGGTAAGCCAGTGGATATGATCTATTTGAATTCCAAAATGCTTTTGACAAGATGCCACACAGGAGGCTGCCACCAGTGGGAGAGACTAAGACCTGAGGGCACAGCCCCAGTGAAGGGACACAACCTTTCAGAACTGAGATGGGGAGGAATTTCTTCAGCCAGAGGGTGGGTAATCTACGGAACTCATTGCTGCGGAAGGCTGTGGGGACCAACCGATTTAGTATACTTAAGACAAAGATAGATATGTTCTTAATTAGTAAGGGGATTGCGGTTACGGTGAGAAGGCAGGAGAATGGGGTTGAGAAACATAACAGCCATGATTGAATGGCAGAGCTGACAGAATGGGCTGAACAGCCTAATTCTTTTCCTATATCTTATGATCTTTGGGATTTTACCTATGAAGGATGAATAATCCAAGAGTACATTTTTGTGGTAGTATGTATGGGAATAGGGAAAAAGTTTGCAGAGTTCTGACTTGTACAGAGTGTTAACTGTCGTCATTACCTGCCACCCACCAGGAATTTCATGTCAAGCTTGCTTACAACAATGCAAATTTTAATCAGTGTATGTGAGCATGTAAGCTCATCAGCTGTGATCTTTCTTCAATCTAATTTTATCAATAACAAATAATACCAAATCACAAGGCAGGCAACTACTTGCAGACCTCCATTTAATAAATCATTTAGTCTAGTTTATTAATTTTTTACAGTTTTGTATCTCCCAATAGCTTTTCCTGCAAAGACAAGATTATATTCAGTTGAATATTTTGGTTGATGGCCAATAAAGATCACAGAACAAGATGAAAAAGTTCTAAACACACACAGAAATATCAATCAAATAGACAATGTTTAATCTTGATTCCTGAAGCACACTGATTATATCACAGTGAAAGTTTTAGTCTGAATGCAATTAATGTAATATGTCATGAAATATTCCTTCTTCTTCATACGATAATTAAATTTCTGGTGCTCAAGGCAACCTCTACGTAAAAAAGTAATAAATCAGTTGATGGATAACAGCTGTTTAGCCAGTTTAAATTAAACATTTTTGTTGTGCGTAGAAACTATGCTTTGATTTTAGAACCTCAAATCATAATTTCATCAAATCAAAGAATTTACAGCACAAAGAGAGGTTATTTGGCTTACGATGCTTGTACTAATTCTACAGCTGGGACGTTCTACTCCAATTCCTGTTTCCCTGGCATTTGGTATTCTTCCATTTCAAATACTTACCAAGTCCCTTTTAACTTGTAATTTCCATCTCTGTAGTTGTTTCTGATCAAATGGTTCATGTTCTGCTAACCCTTTGTATGGCAACTTCCTTCTATCGTTCCTCTTTATTCACCTATTGATAATCTTCCACCACAGTTTTCTAGATGTGCAACTCTGAACCAATCTTTCAACATCACAACCACCTTGCAATCTAAAATTCAGGGTGTGGTGGAGAAACAAAGGGCAGAGTTACGGGGAGAAGACAAGAAAATGTTCTAAATGAAATGCTTATTCAGAGAGTTGCTGCAAATACAATGAACCAAATGGTCTCCTGTTGTGCTTTAAGAATTCTGTGACATTGCGATTTTGGGAAAAATTACCTTTCATAATTTGGGAGACCTTGTTTGGATCGTTTACTTTCCATTCCAATGAAAAAGACTAATTTTTTCAAGCTTTTCAGCATCATAATTTCAAACAAAGCTTAATGTACAGTTGTTACAGTCCTAATTGCTATGAATCAGAGTTACCAGGCTTGGTTTCAGGCACTCTTGGACTGTATTTTCATCAGTCAGTGCGGATGTGCTTTTAAAGTAGTACCCCTGGATGGCACGTCAGGAATTGGGAGAGCTAATAATGTACTTGCAAAATAATTAATTATTTTACAACCAAAAGATGAAGTCTAAAAGGTTATCCTCTTTTCTCACATTTTGTTTAATTGTAACAGGGATTTGAATTTTTTGTAAAGGATGTATTTACCAATTCAGTGTATATTTATCTGGTTATAAGCAGATGGCAAAGAATTATCAGACAGGGTTTCCTGAGTCAAACAATTACGAGGTGAGCTTTGCTGTACTAAACTCACCCAAACTGTCCTTCCAAGTCATTAAAGAGTTGGGCCATAGTCAATCCTGAACAATTACAAGATGTCATGCTAAGCTGGGGAGCAGGGAAAGAGTGATATTCCATTAGATAGAGTTCTAACATAATGTGGCTCATTGTCCCCTACATCACAGATGCCAGTCTTCAGCCAATTCAATTCACTCCACATGATATCAAGAAATGGTTGAAGGTACTGCATATTGCAAAGGCTATGGCCCTGATGACATTTCAACAACAGTTCTGAAGATTTAGTTACAGATTGCCATCCTACAAAGGCCTTCTTTATGTCAACTCTCTCCTCTACCGGTTAGCCAATCCTCTTTCCATTTTAATATATTCCCTCCGACACCATGGACTCTCACCATATTAGGTAGCCTAATGTGTGGTACCTTAACAAACATTTTCCAAAAATCCAAATGTATTACACCCACTGCTCCTCCTTTATCTATCCTGCTTGTTACTTCCTCGATTAATTCTAATAAATTTGGGAGACATGCTTTCCCCTCCATGGAGTCATGCTGACCTTGCTTGATGGTATTATATATTCCTGTATGCTCTGCTAGTACATCCTTTATAATGAAATCTAATATTTTCCCAATTACAGATATTAAGCTAACTAGCTGATGGTTACTTTTTTTTGTCTCCTTCCCTTTTGAAATGAATGTATTACATTGGCAGTTTTCCATTCTTTGAGCCTATTTCCAGAATCTAAGGATTCTTGGAAGATGATGACCGATGCACCCACTATATCTGTAGCTACTTCCTTTAACATCCTCGGATGCATCCCAACCGGTCAAGGGGACTAACTGGGTCTTTAGCCTTATTAATTTCTGTAACACTTGTTCTCTAATGATTGTTGTTGTATTTATTTCCTCTCCTACTTTTCCTCCTTTATTATTTAGAATCATAGAGAGATACAGCACAGAAGAGGCCCTTCACACCATCAGGTCTCTCCCACCGTAAGTATACTATTTATACTAGTCCCACTTTCCCACACTAAGTCTATATCTTTGAATGTCATGATATTTCAAGTGCTCGTATGGCTATGTTTTAAAGAATGTATGGTTTCCCACCTCAACTACCTTCCTGGGCAATGCATTCCACAGCCCCACCACCCTTTGGGTCAAATCCCCCTAGACTTCCTGCCTTTCACCTTAAAATTATGCCCCTTGGTAGTGACTTTGCAACTAAGGGGAACAGCTGCTTTCTATCCGCCCTGTCCATGCCCCTCATAATTTTACACTCCTCTATCAATTTACCCCATAACCTTCTTTGCTCCAAAGAAAACAAATACAATCTTATCCAGCCTCTCTTCACAAGCCAGGGAGATGGCATCTGCCATGGATCTATTACAGCAGTAGGTGAATTGTAATGGATCAAAGCAGTCTAGGAGGCTGAAGTGATGTGTGTCATTACTAACCTCTTGAAGAACTTCATAATGATGGATGTCACAGCGACTAGGCACGTTGCCTTCAGGGATTGTGGACAAGCATCCCAAGATTCTTCTGTTCATCTGAGCTTCCTAGTGTCTTGCTATTCATTAAGTATTGCCCTATCTTGTTCTTTCCTCAAAAGTGCATCACTTCTCATTTCTCAGGGTTAAATTTCATTTGCCACTGATCCATCCATTTGACCAATCTGCTTATATTCTTCTGTAGCCTTTCACCTTCCTCCTCACTGTCAACCACCCACCCAATCTTTGTGCCATCTGCAAACTTACTTATTATCTCCCCATGCATTCTCATCTACATCATTATGAATATCACAAACTATAAGGGATACAGCACTGGTCCCTGTGATATTCCACTGCACACCAGGCTCCAGTCACATAAAGAGCTTTTTTCCACCACACTCTGTCTTCTGTCATTAAGCAAAGTTTGGATCCAAATTACCAAGTTGTCCTGGACTCCATGAGTTTTTACCTTCTTTATCAGTTTCCCATGTGGGAGCTTGTCAAATGCCTTTCTAAAACCATACAAACTGCATCAAGTGCTCTACTCTCATTCAAACACTTTTAAATTTTCCTCCCACTGTGTCTATTGTAAAGGGCTATTTGTTGCTGGCAGTGTTTGACCTGGTGCACAGTTGGGCTTTAAGTATGGCACTTAAGTATGGCAGAAATCCCAGGAGGTCCCAACAATGATGAATACTTCTGTCCCAGTGAATAAAAGATATCGCAAGTACAGCAGCTATGAGGTGTGCTGCATGTTTAATGAAGTGAGCTGCAGAGAATTGTGTGAGAAATGTCACTGGGACTCAAGGAGAGAAACCCTCTAAAAAGCTCCCCAAAATTGACACTAAGCCATTTTCCAGTAAAATCCAGCCTCTACAGTAAACAAATTAGTTGTTCCATACAAACTCCGTGCATTTAAAATTGCAACTGTCGTTTTGTTGGGTTCAAATTGTTCACTTTCCAAAATAAATCCAACTGAATCAGAAGTGACATATCAGTTTAAATATATCTACTCAGTCAATTTCCTTGGGGCACTTAGGGATATGTCAGTTTCAATCAGATGATAGCTCAGCTGATCTACTTCATTCATTGAATAAAGATGTGTCAGTGGTGGAAAAAAAGCTTTGCTATCAATTCATCCTCAGTGTGAGAAAGAAGTGACAGGTTTTTTTTGTGGCGCTTTAGGATGCTGATGATGTCACTTGACATTTTGCCAAAAATCAGTTCTGCGACTGCACATGAGAAAATGTTTCTCCTGCTGTAAGTCGCAGTTGGCTCATCAGAACAGAGCAATACCATATGAAGGATCCCTTGTTTTTTTTTGGCTGTTGTGCACCTGCACCACCATCTATTATTTGGTCTACATAGATCAGTCAATGAGTTGGCTTTGGAATGTTTCTGCTCAAACTTAATTGCTGAGATAATGCTGGTACAACTCAGCTGTACAAAATCCGATACATTTTCCCAGGAAAAAAGATAGTGGTAGAACTTGGAAATAAAAGAACTGAACCGAACTTGTCATGTATACCAAAATCTGGAACTCCTGTTTGTACCAGTTAGTTGCACTTCTTGCTGGTTTTGAAAAAGAGCATAAGACTCAAAATGATATCTCTGTTTCTCTCTCACACAGATCTGCTGAGGTTTTACAGGGTGTTCTGGTTTTGTTTGAAATTTTCAGTACCTGCAGCATTTTGCTTCTATTTTACTGGCTTTTGTTAGTTTTTTTTTTCCCTTCTGGAACACATTTTAGAAAGCTGATCTCTTTGTTTCAGCTACAATAGTAAAAGAGAAGTTGACAGGCACTTCTTGGAATATAATGTTTAGTACTTCTCTTAACTGCATGATTCAGCATTCTGGGAAGGAGATTGACTTTAGAACTATGATTAGTTTAAACCAACACAAACAAAACAGGTTCACTAAAATTATTCTTCATATTTGATCTTTGTGAGAGCTTGCTCTGAACAAATTGGCTTCCCTTTTCATGATTATTCTTCAAAATTAATTCATTGGATACAAACCACTGTGGAAGATTTGACAATGTAACTGCACTATGCAGATGCAAATTCTTTCCTTAATTTGGCATGGAATGATTAACAGATGCTTCACAGCTCATTGTTTCAGCCAAGTATTATATAGGTCATTTACTAAAGTAAATATTTCAGTCTCTTTCTAACTTCAGAGACTTGACAACATTATCTCGGCTGACACATAAGTTGTTTTGAGTGAGTGCTGCCCTTACAGAGGTGCCGTCTCTCTGATGAGCTATTACACTGAGGCTCTGTTTCCTCTCTCAGATGAAGGAAAAATATCTCATGGCATTACTTGTACAAGGAAGGTTCTCTCAGTGTCCTTGCTAATAGATAGCCTTCTACTAATAGTACACAGAAAAGGTTATCTGGTCATTCATCTAATTGCTGTTTGCAAGGCTTTGCTGTGTGAATGTATATGGCTTACCAACAAAACATATGTGGACACATTTGCTGACATATTATCACACTTGCATTGCCATAAGTTTCAAAAAATATAGTACATTTTTGACTGAATATCATGTTCACATTCCATCTTCTGTGTAACTGTAAGTGAATGAAAATAATGGAATTGTGCACTTGCATCAGCCATGTTTATATTCAGACTACTGTACTTAAATGATGCTCTACACTTGAGTATTTAGATCTGGCTCTAAAGTGTATAATTTTGGATCACTGGTGTTTTTGAGGACTTACCATTTCTTGTTTTCTCTTTATGGACTGATATTTCTCCTCCCAGGGTTCTTTTATCTTAATTTGTTCAGTCAGGTTGTTGATTAACAAAAAAAAAATCTGAAATGCAAGAGCTTTGGATATCTTGATTCAAACAATTTTTTTATCAGCAGTTAAAATCTCTACATATGGAGTGTGCCACTGTATTTTAAAGTGAATATGCTGTAAAACCTCAGCAGGTCCGTGCAACAACATCTGTGGAGAGAGAAACAGAGATATCATTTTGAGTCTAATGCTCTTTATCAGAAGTAGCAAAAAGTGGAACTAACTGATCCGAACTGAAGTTCCATATTGAAGTAGACACAGGTTTGGATTAGTCCCATTATTTCCAAGTTCTACTTTTTTCTTTCTAGGAAGTATATATCAGATTTTGTACAGCTAGGTTGTACCAGCATTATCTCAGCAATTAAGTTTGAGCAGAAACATTCCAAAGCCAACTCATTGACTGATTTGTGCTGATCAACATAGCTGGTGATGCAGGTGCATAACCGTATTTTTATGGAGAAAAATAGTATCATTATTTCTGCGGGGTATGTATGAGTTTAATTGCAGCATATTGGAGGTTTGCAGGTTCAATGGATTGATTCTAGAGAGGAGGAGTTTGTTTTATGAGGAGAGATTGAGAAGTTTAGGCCTGCTCTATCTGGAGTTTAGAAGATTAAGAGGAGACCTAATTGAGGTATAAAGATGCTAAACAGGATTCACAAAGTAGATGTATAGAGGATCTTTCCTCATGAAGAAAGCAATCAAGAAGGCAAAGAAAGAAAATGAGATAGCATTGGCAGATAAGGTTAAGGATAATCCAAAGAGATTCTACAAATACATTAAGAGCAAGTGGGTAATGAGGGAGAGGGTAAGGCCCTTTAAAGATCAAGGAAGTCACTTTTGTGTTGAACCGCAGGAGATGGTAAAAATATTAAATGAGTATTTTGCATCAAATTTTACTGTGGAGAAAGAAATGGAGACTTGAGAACACAGAGAAATAAATTTTGATGTTTTAAAAACAGTTCACATTACAGAAGAGGAAGTTCAGGAGGTCTTAGAGAATATAAAGGTGGGTAAGTCTCCAGAACCTGAACTAACGTATCCCAGAATGTTGTGGGAAGTAAGGGAGGAAATTGCAAGACCCCTTGCAAAAATATTTGAATCATCTATAACTATGGGTGAGGTGCCTGATGAGTGGAGGGTGGTTAATGTTGTACCTTTGTTCGAGAGAAGTTGTAAGGAGAAACTAGGGAAATATAGACCTGTGAGTCTGACTTCAGTTGTGGATAAATTATTGGAGGTGATTAAAAAGATAAGATTAATGGACAATTAGAGAAGCAAAAATTGATTAGGGATAGTCAGCATGGTTTTGTGCAAGGAAAATCATGTCTCACAAACTTGATTGAGTTTTTTGAGGAAGTTACCAAAAAGACTGATGAGGGCAGAGCAGTAGATGTTGTTTACTTGAACGTTAGTAAAGCCTTTCACAAGGTTTTACATGGTAGACTAATTAGTAAAGTTAGGTCACATGGGATTCAGGGTGAATGTGCCAATTAGATACATAATTGGCTTAACAGCAGGAAACAGAGTGGCGTTGGAAGGTTTGCTTTTCAGATTGGAGGACTGCCACCAGTGGTGTTCCACAGGGATCGGTTCTGGGTCCTCTTTGTTTTTCATTTATATAAATAATTTGGATGAGAATTTAGACGGCATGGATAATAAGTTTACAGATGACGTCAAATTTGGTGACATAATAAACTGTGATGGGCAATTTAGCATAGCCAATCCACCAAACTTGCTTCGCTGGACTGTGGGATGAAACCCACACAGACATGGGGAGAATGTGCAAGCTGCAAACAGACAGTCATCTGAGCCTGGAGTCAAACCTAGACCCCTGGTGCTGTAAGGCAGCAGTGCTAACCACTGAGCCACCATGCCAACGTATATGGCATTAGCCACAACCCCCAATAATTTGTATTTCTGAAAATAAATACACTACAGTGTTCCAACTCAGAAGTAGTGGAAACATTCATTTTAGATGAAACTGAAATAAATTTAATTGAATTGTTTCAGTTGCTTTAAAAGTGATTAGGAGTATTATGAAGTATAATACAAACATTCCAGGATTTTGCAAAATCTCTTATTTAAAGTTGCACTAAGTATATAAACAAGGGTATGTTCTGTCATTTAAATTAAGTTTTGGTGAATATATGTTCTTCCTGTCCTGAAAGAAGGAAATGGTTTTAAATTTACAAGTTGCATTTCTGTTACCTCCAACCCATACCATATTAGGATGATAGCATGTAGAGATGTTGAGGGCAGGTTACTTGAGCTGTCCCTGACATAGTCAATATTCCTTGTAAACCCTTGAACTAGACAGAATTAAACAGCGTCCAATTTAGCTTTGGTCATATTAGCACAAATTGTTCGGGCAGACATACCAGTTTATCTTATTTTATTTTTATTCATTTTATTTAGGCACTATAATCAATATATTAATCTTACAAGAATTGGTTTGGGAGACCTTATGTATTACCTTAACAGAATAGTATTATTAACATGAGAAAATACCCATTAGAGACAACCATCTAAATACATTATGGTGATGTACAAATGTACTCTGAAGGAACGGTTGTGCTTCACTCCATTTACTTCACAAAGAATAATTGAACAGAATGAAAAAGATACTGAAGTAATGAAAATAGTTCCAAATGGGATTATGTACCCAAATGGATGCACACAATTAGATTCTTCTTATAATTTACTAATTCCAAATTCACATTCTGCATCTAACACTTGCACTTAATGTGGATTTTCCATTTTGGAAAGAAGAATAGAAAAGTTGTATGCACTTTAAGCAGAGAAAGATCGCAGAACTTGGTGGTACAAGGGGATCCAGAAGTCGCGATGCATAAATCTCATACAGTTAATATGCAAATAGTTAGGAAGGCAAATGGAATGTGGTTGTTTATTGCAAGAGGAATGAAATATAAATGTAGAGAGTGCTGACCATGCTTTGGACACTTCTACCAGTATATGTATTAAAAACACTTTACCCACGGGTCCTATTAGTGAGGTGGACAAAGGGACACAGAATTTAGTATGTGGTTCAACTCAGTTTTGTTAATAAAGTGTTCCTTATTTAAATACTATTTGAGCATTCCTCAAATTCCTGCAATATTTATTCTCTGTCCATCTGAGAAAACATATTACCTGCAAGGACCCATGTATTTGAGCTGGGCTATTACACCTCCTTCCTCGCCAACCAGGACTAGCTCTCTTCCACAAAATGGAAAGTGGATCTTGCAGGTCAAGGCAGAACTTCTCCTAGGTCTTCTTGGGTTGTTGCATAGTCTTCTGTCACAAATCTTGCTGCAAATCTTCCCATCACAAGACTTCACTGAGCCTTCTCTGAGGAATGGCTTCTCAGTGTGTGGGTTTTTATGCCTCCTCACACCAGACCTTCCAGCATGTTCTGGGGCCTTTAGCCAATGGGGTTATGAGCTGGATTCAAAGCATCCAATGGGGTCTGTCCAACACCCTTCACTTTTGCCATACCAGGAGGTGTAAAGTGCACAGAGTCAGGCAGTCAGGATTCCAAATATCTGATGGACAATTCTCGAACATGCAACCCTCAGGCTGGTTGTGACTGGTTCCCCTTGAACCTTTGTAATCTCTTTGATCTTGGTCTCCAGTGTTTTTTGTAGCCAATAGCTGCTGGCTGCTGTTTAACTTACTTTGGCCTGTCAGCTTTGTTTTCTCCAGCTGTGGGTCAATTTAGAATGTCCAATTTTGTGCCCGCCATCACTTGATCAGAATAGGTTTTACTACAGCGTTATGGGCCATTGGTGAGACTTCATCTGGCATATTGTTTACAGTTGAAACAATACATAATTGCGTTCAAAGTAAGTCAGAGAAGGTTCAAACGGTCATACTATGAAGAAAGAGTAAACAGGTTAGACTTATTCCCATCAGAGTTTAACAGAATGCGAGATCATCTTAGGCTCACAGGACCTTCAGCAGAAAGACAAAATGGATATTCTGAAGATGATTTGTCGTCTGTGGGGCACGAAAACTTTGGGGCATAGTTTTAGAATGAAAAATCGCCCTTTTAAAACAGAGAGGAGGAGAAATGTTTATTTTCTGAGACAATTTGTTGCCAAAATCACCTCCAGCCCAATTACGGCCTTTGTAAATCAACATACTGTTCTGTCAATGATGCTGATGTTACATAAGATCAGGAACTAGAAATAGTACAGGCCTAAGTTTCTCGACCTCTTATTAAAAATCCAGTCCAAAGATTCAGTGAATAAAATTAAGGCAGCAGATTGGGTGTGAGTTTGAAAATGTCTTCCGTAGAAGGTAATGAAGGTGGGATCTTTAAATTTATTCATGGCTGAGTTAGATAGATTTTTGATAGACAAGGGAGTCAAGATTGACAAGGTAAATCATCTAATGCCTGTTATGCCAAGGATTCAACGAGAAAGTGTTTGTCACCAAAATCTGCTCTGAACTTTTCTTGCCCCAGAAAAACATGCAGGGTGGTACTGGACCATACCAAAAAGGTAAATAAGTCAATAAGAGATTCTCAAGAAGTGACTAACATATTCCAATATGCATTAAAACATTATCATCATTTTTCATTTACTCAAACTGTTCTGTCCTATTAGATTAATTGTGCCAGAAGCCAACAAACGTAAAGTTCACCTGTACTGCATGCAAAGAAATTCTGAGTAAAACTATAATTGTCAAATAAAAAATACATCTAATTTGAGAAGCAACAAGCCATGGAAGAGTTACATGTTCAGCTACATTTAGAACTGGACACTTTAGTTACAAACAAAAGCAGCTGTTGGACAAATACCAGAATACTATAGACTCGATCGCATAACTTGACACAAACAGTTAGTACATTTTAGACAGAAAGAAATCAGCTGTTTGGACATACCATTGAAACACAATAGTTGCCAAGGAAACCAATTAGTAATCCTGAATTTGCAGTAAGCAGTACGTATCAATTATCAAAAATTGAAATGTGTTTTGGAAAAGCATATCAAAATGTTTCCACAATTAATCAGGTCTTGTCACG